GATAAAGACTATTAAATGTGCAATATTTTGAAAGATCTATTTAATTTAGGCCCCCTTTTTTGAGCCGCTCACCTCCCTGAAATGTTTCATTTTGACTGCGATCAGGTTTCACGACAATGTTAACCTATGCGCAAAATCTTGGCCTCAGGCGGGATTCATACCTGCCATCCACGCTTATCATACTAAAGAAGCGCGTATTGTTAAACTATGCTAAATTACCACAAGCTGACCTAAGGGAAATGACGACCTAGTAGTGTGAGTGGTAGCACAATTGCCCAATAGACCAAAAATGCAGGTTCGAATCCCGCCTGGGGTAGTTATGACAAGGGTTTTTTTCAAAATCAGCACTCTTATGAAACTTTAGCAACAACTGCGGCGTAAAATAGCAGTTGACAAACAAAGCAAGGCCTGAAACCTGAACCTACTTCATAAAAAATCGGAAGGAATCAGAGCGAGTAGTAGAACTCTACTATAGAACTACGATACTGATAAAAAAGCTTACCATATTGATGTGTTCAGCGTTCTTAATGATGTCGACAGCGCTCGAATAGTCGATGCTCTCGAATGACACGCCGTTGGCTGAGAGAATACGGTCGTTCACTCTAGAAAAACACCACGACATGATGAACGTCTTTTACCAGTGCACTCCACTAGCACTGCTGGCATCCATCCGCCTTCCATTACGTCTTCGACATATATTATTCCGTGCCTTTTTCTCAACTATTACACCACTTTATGACAATTTTTATTGACGAAAAATTCGACGTTTATGACATGATCACACCACGCTCACGGATTCTACAATGAACGTCAAACGCCGCTCGCATCGTTCTGACGCTCCTTCATAAAACCACATCGCGCTCAATCCTCTAGGACCTATTATTGGAACGAATCCTTCCTCCAATAGGATACGATATTCTCAAGGCGCCGGTGTTGTGTAGGAAAAAATACCAGTTAACATTTCAAAAAGCGAAGAAAGTGTCGGGTGCAGACCATGCACCACAAATTACGATGGCCTCCACAAAATGTTAACACTTTCTGCCAATGAAATGATTAGCCTGTTGCAGTTGTATTCTATCGATTGTCACTAATTACAACTATATTTACCAGAAATCAGCTATCACTATGAACAACTTCTAACCAGATTTACTTGGAGGCCGTCGTCAGTTGTGGTGTTTGGTCTGCACCCGACACTTTCTCGCTTTTTGAAGGGGAGGTTATGTGGCACACGGGCAGCTATATGCTTGAAAGTTGTGAACGTCACCCGAAATTGTTGAAAAATCCGCGTCACCGAGATGCAGAAAAAAGCTGGGCATTCTGGGTTTGATGTCTTAACGTTGACTATTTCTGTGAGTCCTACATTATAAAACGCCGCTTCTAGCCGCCATTTTGATGTTTGTTTAAAAATTCTTGAGAGAAGAAAGTGACCTAAAAAACTAAAACCTCGCTGATACATTTCCAATGTTAATTGTTTCGATTGTTAAACGACAAACCAAAATAAACCGTATGTTGAAAATTCCGCAGAAACGACGCACCCGGCGTTCCAGTACCCTCACTTCATCTCCAATGTTTTCCAGCTAAGTCCTGCATGCATCCTTCACTCAATCCCATGGAGCTAATACCTGAGTTTTCCCAGGAGCGAGTAGGATTGCAGAATTGCTTTGAAAGTTGAAATATACAAAATTCCTCAAGAATTCCAATAATTCGTCCCAACGAATAGCTTCATCCTATTTAGCCACCAATATGAACTCCCTCCTACCTCAGGTAGGCGTGATTATTTTTAAAGGAACTTCGATGTACCTCATCCTGGAAACCACGGACTAGAATTTGTGCAGCTTACGGTGACGACAACACAATAGGAGTGGGTTCCCAAGTTTTTTTTTGAAGAGATTTTAAACGAAGAGGAGGATTTGAAGGAGCAGCCAAGATCTACAAAGAAAGGACACAATATCAGCCAAGATAATCGGTTATCGGGTATGTGGTCAAATTGTACTGATTCAGGAGGTGACTAGAAGTTGACAATTTTGACTTATCCATAACTGAGTTTGATTGATCCATAGATAAATGATTCATATTCATGGAACTCAAAAATTGAGAACTTTTCTTCAACCTCACATCCTGCCTGAACGAGAGCGAACATAAGGTTGGGTTTTGAACGCGTGAATTTACAAGATGCTGTGATTCCCAATCAGTATGTAGCTCACCCTTCACCATTCCCTCTTGTGGATCACGGTTTTTCTCCTGAATATTCCTCTAAAATATTGCGAAAAAAATACATTCATATCATCATTCCCTTTTCCCTCACTATCTCAACACATCCCTCTTCCAAATCCAATCCTAACAATAATTCGAAATTGATTTTTGAAACAATCTATCGATTTGTCCCGTTCACAATAAATGCAACACGGCCACGATCGATATCACTCTTAAAAAACAATAAATATTCAATACCCTACGAATCCACTGCATGCTTCACGGTCTACTAAAACAAAATTGCAATACTGCGCGCATTTTTGTTTAGAATCCAAGTACTGCAGGAAAACCTTCAGCAATTCCACGTACCCCTTGCCACATCAAAGGTTCCACCTTCTCCTAGTGGAACCAATAAGTTTCTCTTTCAATTCTAGCACTATTCAAAAATATGAAAAGTTAACCTCACATCACTACAGGATAGATTGACATGATAAGAGAGTCACCGAAGTTGATCCCAATATATTCCTGGACACTTTTTCAACTGGAACTGGATTTCACGCGAGCAGACGATTAGTAAAAAAAATCACTGGAGTCCAGAACGAAATGGTTGAATTTGAGGCCTATGATAAGGGAACATTGGAGGTTATCCCTAATCATTTAAATAGTCTGTTTTTATATCTATGATGCTTATCCCCGTCCGTACAAACACACAAGTTCTCCTCTATCTTTAGAGTTAATCCTTGGCACTATTAGGAATCTAAGTGGTCACCGGCAAGAGGTGCTCTGTAAAAAGAGCTTGGTGGCAGCTGCACAAAATTCCATGGGGGATAACTCTAAAGGAGGACATTGCTGTGCGATGACATAAAAAAAAACTTGAAATTGGAACCTTTCTTCGCCTTGAATAAACACTTTGGATAGCTTCCACTTCGCTTCACAACTTTCCCCACATTTTTTGATCAAATCACAATCAAGATAGATTTTAAATAAACGCAAAAAAAATCCCAGAAATTTCGAGAAATCGTAAGTGCATTCTAATTATTGATCACCCTGCAGAATGTAGAACTCCGGGCCGATGGTTTTGCAACTACCATGATATATTAGCTGTTCAGCCCCACGCGCCAAGAGGTCTACACACAAATCAATGCTCTTTGATGAACTCCTCACTTGCCAGAAGCCCTATGAGACCAGAAACAGAAAATAAAACAAATTACCAGAAAAATAAGAAAGTACGAAAATGGAAAAACGCACTGAAGCAGTCCCCAGGCCGGTCCGTTTGGCACGACGTCCGAGATCACGACAGCCGGGTCGCCAGAGGTAAAATGTGGATTATCGCGACCACCTGAGACGGCGATACCAAAACCCAGGGAGACTGCCTGAAAACACACCACGATTTAACTGTGCCTACTTACACATGAGCCAAAGGAAGCCCTTCAAAAATCGATTACACTATTTTACAACAGAAGAAAGAAAGAAACTGCGTACTGCAACAGCGAGCAAATTACAACCCGATAAAAATCGTGCTGGAGTGTGAACAAAAACAGCTCGTTGCCGCTGAAGCGACGTGACACCTTTGCCCTGAGGGGACAGACACTTCAGCTTTGATTGAAGCGGTCATCATTTGCCTAGGCAACCAGCTGTATCACAGAATATGGGCTTTTCATTGGCAATCAATTGTACGAGTAAGGAGAAAAACTATTTTGGATCCAATTTCAAGGAGGAAACGCTTGCACGGCTAATAACAGTCGTAAAATCATTTAGCGTCGATTCGTCGCTTGTCACCGAGGCCCGTCACATTTTCGGACGAATTCCACGCCAGAAAACTATTGAAATCGATGAATCACCTAACAAATCAACGTCATGAAGGCCATCTGGACGGAAATGTGAAGAAGAAGCAGAACGTTTCGAACAGAAGGGTACCTCCCTTGGTGTAGTCAACAATTTTATAGAAACCTTTAAATCATTCGATGCTCTCCAGGAAACTCTTAACGGACCATTAAAAAGGTCAACATCAGTTAGCTGGTGGCTCGCAATATCGGCACGCACACGAAACCGCTCTTGCTGCCCGGCCAGATATCACAACGTACGAGACAACTGCTGCGCTTCGATGTCAGAGGTCATCAATCAATAACTATCACTTGCGCTTTAACCTCAAATCCCCATAAACAAATGTCTCCTCGGGTACGATCTCAGCGGATTGAATTAGTTCACCCGAGTTATTAACTACTACTGCCTCTTGTCAGCATCAGGGTTTTTTGATGGACCTCTGATTTCTCTGTTAAAAACTGCAGATATTGAATCGTTATTTAAAAATTATTATCATTTTAGTCCATTTTGATTGCAGAGGAAGATCTGGTTATTAAGAAAATTAACGTATTTTTACTAATACTTATTAGTGAGAAAAAACAGTAAAAGATCAAGAGAAATTCTTACTGAAATTGGGATTTCACAAGGTGGGTTAGCTGACCGCAACTCACCTCCTTCATCCGTGGTTCCGGATTCCGGAAGGACCTAGCAAACCCTAACCTACAAAACAACACATCTAGGGGGAATGAAAAAAAGGCCAGGGAGCAAACGTCTAGTGGCTCTTGCAAAATGCAGTATGGAAACATCATCCCAATACCTGAAAATCTCATCCCAATACCTAAAAATTTTCTATTCGAAGCCGAACGCGTGGCGAATAATAGAAAGCATGAGCAGCTCAAAGAACCGTCACTAACACCACGAATAGTATCCTTAGTGTTTGAATATATCGAAATCGAGTGAACCTGAGGATAAAATGAATTTTACTAGACCCTTTGCCGGTTCTCTCCGGAAGAGAAATTTTCGCAGCTTCGGAAAAAACTCTTTGATGTTAGAAGAAACATAACTCAATCCTATGGAGAGAAAGCTACCTGAAGATTCTTCAAACTGAGTTCAATCTTTCAAAATTTTCTATCTAATAAAATGCATTACAAGGACAAGCCATGCGGTCATCCTCTCTGTTGCGAAAGCTGCAGAAAGTTAGCAGAAAGTGGCATTTTCTCTGAACACCAACATCTGGCAGTAAGAAACACAAAAAAGAAGCCATTCGTAAGGCCATTTGAAATTTGCAAACAGATGTATACATGAAGGAAATTGGACGGTCGCCAGTGACCGAAATGTCTCACACATACAATGAGGAGTAGAAATGGTGGAACGGGGAACGAGGCCAGGTGAAGGGGGTTGACGGTCACAACAGGAAGTTACACGGAGAATAATTTCGGAGGACAATGTCACGCCGCTGAGATATCAAAATTCCCATAAATTTACTAAAATTTCTCATCGCCACGGAGAAACCCATTCTTACATCCAGAGATGCTATCTTCCTTCTTTTTTCAGTGCAGCTTCAATATTCTCGCAAGTTTAATTTGATATTGAAAAGGTCAAAATTCAAACGAATGAACAAATGTATTAGGTTATATGCTTCGAAATATAACCCAATGCATCTCATAAGGCGCCGTGGCTACAGAAGCAGCTTTTTCTTTACACGCTCCATTGCATGGAAGCCTGCCCATCAACCGGATACACTATTCTTGAAGGTATCCTCAATAGACGCCAGGTTCCTTCGAAGAGACAACCCCTGAAGGGCGTCAGAAAGTTTTCTAAAGCGGCCTATAGAGCCATAAAAGCGATGAAATGTCTTCAGCATTTGTAGACCTTGAATATATGGCGCATCCCCATCAACGCTATGGCCCTTTACCCTTTACAACCCGGTTCTGTGACAACTCAAAAACGAGCAATTAAGTTCACGTCGCGAGGATAATCGTCAATTAACAGAAAACCAATATTCAAAATTATCGGATATTCGGAATAGTAGTGCCCAAGAGAAGAGCGACCGAGCTCAGCTGCAGTGAGTCGTAAAAACGAAATCGCAACAACAGACTTCAGCCGCTAGCTGCGCTACGCCCGCTTCCCAATACCACCGAAATGATTAATCATTACAAGCGTTACGGAGAAAAAAATCAGGCCGCTCTCATTCTACGAAATTCTCCTCGACCTTCGAAGTCAGTTGGGAGAGGGAAAAAATCCTGTGTCAAAAAATACCCAAAGGACTCAGCCAGTACACTACGAATATTAATGCTGATCGCAACGCATATGTACTTTCAACACTCGCTAAAAGCAAAAATAGTGTTCAACATGCCCAAGAGGGTAAAAACCACTGGTGCATTCCCACATGGTGTCGATAGCCCGAAATTCTAGCCTAGGATTTGGTGCGTTAAGGCGAGCTCCGATCATAGAGATATTCGACATACAAGGGAAAACCTTGCGTCGCAAAAGCCGTGGTCGATCAGCTATTGCCATTTACGACTTTCGAGCGAGCACCACCTTCAAAGAAAAACAGAAATTTAATTTTTACATATAATTTACCTAACTTTCAGAGTCATGGCCTCTCCTCCAAGTGCACTAGAAGACAGCTTTATGCACGTATGTAAGCAGTTATTCTAACCTCAGCAAAACCAACAAGAGAACTACAAGAAGTACGCTCGGCTTAGTCTCTCCGGGGAACTGATCAACCACCTTGAGTTTGCGCCGCGCCCTCATCTTAACCTGATAAACTCGACATATTTTTGTATATACGATTCCTTATGTTCTCTCTCTGGAGTCACTTTGTCGTATTATAACCGCTTTCTTTAGAAACCCACACCCACACTCAGGTCGCACCGGATTTACCAGAAAAAAAAACGTGAATAAACAAATAAATAAACAAAGTGGGATGTGGAACTCTGTCGACGTTTTTCAATAGTGGATAAGTAGCCAGAAAGTTCGTGCTCCAACAATTGTGGCACTTATTCCATACGATGAACCACCACTTACCAGGTATTCAGTCCGATCCGATCCTGCAAGTAGGCAATTGTGCAATCGGTGGCCCATGATGAAGCTAACTCAGCTGTACCAATACCGACTACCTCAGAAAAGAGCCCAGTAGGCAGGACAATAAAGTTTGAAAAAAGCTAACTCCGAAAAGACTTCCCATCTAATACCCGAGAAAGGCATAGCTGGGAAAATTTTAGAAGGCTGAACAGGGACGCATTAAACGTTTAAGCTGAAATTAGGTAGTCTCAGACAGATTCGTAATCTTCACTAATAATTCCTCTCGCCCTAGCATTAAAGGGCTGTCTTGAGTTAGATACCACACATGGGATTGTTTTCTATAAAGGCATGACGCACGCGTCAGACTAAAATAGCATCGTTTGCAGAAGCGACTGTTTAAAGCGAAAAGCTCTACAAAAAGCTAAAGATATCAACTTACTTACCAAATGGCTGCTCTTTGATACTTGTGTTAACGTATAGTCACTATGGGCTTGATCTGCCGACCGTGACTCTACAGTCTCATTTTTGACTACTCAACCTTTGTCTCACGTCTTTTTGATTTCTCCCATGCGAACCTATTTTTCAATTTAACTTTTATAATTAGATTTTCTTGCCTTAGTGTGTTTATGAAATGTCACTGTATTCAACAGGCTCTACTCTAAACACTTTTGGAGACCGACAGGTTTTCACAGGCGTCGCTAATTCGTAGCGCTCAAGCGGCATCGTCCTGTGCGGGCCTTCACTACTGTCTATGTTGTACCTAGGGTTCTCGAGAAGAGAGTACTGGTTTAATGAACTCTTTGAAGTCAAAGGAGGTATAGTCAGCTCCTGAACATCGCTTGTAAATGCTCTGGAAAAATTCTTTTTAGTAAACAACAACTTTTTTGAAAACAAACTTTTAAACCGTCTCGAACCGCTGAACCTTCAGCACGTCAGACTAGAAAATAAGTACACTCACTTTTTAATTAATTATGCTTGCTGACTGTCAGCCCAAAAAAAGGTCACAAAATCGAGCTGAGACAGCAGCATTGATGGAACGGGGATGGCAAAGCGTCAGTGGCGGTCGAACGATGACGACCAGGACGAGGAAACGGAACAATCTATCAAAATCTCGATTCCGACTCCTCCCGGGTCGAACGAACGTGCCCCACATGCAGCCCTGGACGGCGGCTGCCCGTCAGCTTCTCCGCTATTCGGACCTCTCGCTCGCACATTATTTATAGCGGATGTAGCAGAATGGCTCGACCAATCCCGCACACAACCACACTTTCGATCTTGCCCTTCATCAGGGTCGAAAAGGCACTTTGAAAAACCAGATGGGATTCTTTATTCCGAACAAACTGCCTTTTACACCACTTTTTTCACGAAATCCAAACGTCACGACCGAATCCATTTGGAGTTCCATTTGGAGTGGCCGTAAAAATCCTTAACGGGTCTTCTCTTTGCCAAAGGGAAATGGCTTCCAACATTCGAATAATTCACTAAACGACTTCATCATTTATAACATTATACATGGGAAGAAAATTTGAATTGAAAGTTTCAGGTCAGGTCCATAATTGAGAATCGAAATTTCAATGTTAAGCACTTCTTTCGGAAAGTGGGTCAAGATCGAGACCTTGAAGGGCCCCGAATGCTTTCTCCTCACCTAAGTAAGTGGTGAAGTTGGCTGCAACTAATCGAACAGCTGGTATTTCGAAAGGGTGGCGTGACTCTCCCATCCGGATTCACATGTTTTGGACCGCGCAGCCGTTCAGCTGATGCGCTCTCCTCTTTCCAATTTCGGAAAAAAGGAATCACTCCAAAAACATCTAAATGTATCCAAAACTTCAGATTTCCTGTCCAATAGAGATTTCGAATTGATAGGCTTTTCTTGCACATGGAGAGCAGCAAGTTAGCATTCTGATGAGAAATCCCCCTTCCGGAGAAGGATTTCATTCACTTCAAAGTGCTGGCGCACGCCACATACACACAGTCGCCAATTTGACTCCCAGAAGTGTCTATTATATCCCTTTCCAGTCTGGCTCCGTCACCGCTAGGCAAATAAAGAACCATTTTGATCACTATGTCAATCATCAAATATAAAAATGGTTTACGCGAGTCAAAAAGCATGGCTCGAGCTTAGTAGGTGTTCAATAAACGTGTGAAGCTCACGTCCTAAGAAGGTGATCCTATAGGTTGTGATTCAATCCTCGCCAGCGCCCCATTAACTCCTACACTTCTACTGCTCTAGGTAATTAAACCTGACCCCAGTGTTACGGTGAGCCTGTACAGAAATGCGAATATATTACTGATTAACTCGTATTGCATAATAAAAAGAGATCGATAATAAAAAGGAACATGAACAATTTCTCAAAACTTTCTCCCTAGTCTAATCTTATCGTTAGGTGAACTTCTACAGTACTGGATTGCGCTTAGCAGCGATTTCATTGAAGTATCTAATCATTTAACATTTATGAAGTTTTGAAAGTTTTAAAAAATTGAATTTTAAAAAAGTGTCACTCTAAAGGGTGGCCTGTTCTATACCTAAACACTGGAATAATGAATCGTGGAGAATCGTGAATACTTTCATTTTATATATACTGAGTTGGGGAACGTCTTCACTTCGTGCAATTTAATTTCCTTCAAGAGGAAATTCAGAAAAAGTACAACGTCT